TTGTATCTGGTATCCTGTATACAGTATCCTGGATACTGTATCTTATATCCTGTATTCTGTATGCAGTATCTTGTACATTTTTTCCTGTATACTGTATCCTGCAAACAGTATCCTGCATCCTATAAGTACTGCAAAAAGTTATAGCTTTTATAAGGTAGTAAAGTCAGGCTATCATTTTGAAGTATTTTTTCTGTTTCGACAACTGAAAGTGGTAGAAACGTTGCCTTCCGGTGTGTTTTAGTTTTCTGCTTGTTTTTTTTTGTTTCCACGGAATATCAGGATCCACAAATTATCGTCCACGAAATATCAGGATCCACAAATTATCAAGTTTTTCCCGTGTTTTTTAAGAGCGTACTTGTGTGATATGCTTTATCAGTTGATTTAGACATCTTAAGCATTAGTAAAACAAGTGACTTTAGTTTTTTTAATATTTAAAAATCTTTTTTTTCTCCTCTCTGTTTTGAAGTTACCTACAAATTATTTTACTAAATGGACTACAAATTTTAGTTATCAACAACGAAATTTGAGTTGATCAGAAAAGTTATTTTGAAAAAGTACAGTGTTTTCATTTATTTAATATTTGTTCCGACCATTTGAAAAAGGGAGAAACTTTGTATTTGGGTGTTTTAGTTTTTTTTTTCATTTTTTTGTTTTCCACGCAATATCAGGTTCCGCAAAATATAATCAGAGTTAGTAGGCGGATATATCATATAAAAGTCTTTTCAGTCGTGATTTGAACAAACTTATATTAAAATTCGAAAAAAAGTACGAGTTTTGAGAAAAACTGGCTTACAACTTTTGGTATTAAGTTTAATTTCGAGCAAATGAAGCCAGCGAGCTGATATTTTATAGACAGATAGGCCATGAAATGTTAGTTTGGTCAGGTAAAAATAGTTTAAAATTTTTTTAAGCGCAATCTTGGAAATAAAAACATCAACAAATTAAAAATATTTATCTGCGAAAAAAACTGAGCTGACTAACAAATTTTTGATTTTTTTAAGGATTTTTTTTTGTTTTCTCGTCATGTTTTGACAAATTAAAGCCAAAATTGCCTTTCTATTTTTGAATGAGAATTTGGTCAGAAAATTCTGTGCTACTTGCACAGCCACCGGCAATCCCTTTATCGGAAATACCTGAAGTCAATTATTCTCAATTTACTATCTTTCTACCCGTTGATAAAGATCTTTCATTACAACACGCACAAACATCAACCAAAATTTGAAGAAAAATATAAACCGTTTATTGAAGTTTTTATTGACGGTGGTCGGAACAATCTGTTGTATTTACACATCGCCAGGCTATCCTTTTTACTTCTAAAGAAATAGTGCGAGCAAGGCAAGCCTAAAACTTCAATTAAATTTTCTTTATAACCGCCGAGTTTTTCAATAGATAATAATTAGTAGTTAATAGTTAATAGATAAGGCTAAATATAACTAAACTGCTTTCGATAGAGCGGATAAATGCGTTCACTTCAAATTTTAAAATTAAAAACTCAAAAAATACAAGAAGTTTTGATTTTTTTTTAATCTAACAACTATGTTTTTAATTTGAAACAAAACGCGCGGTTGGAAAGTTTTCAGCTACTGTTTTAGTAATAAGATATTTTTCATTGGAGATCGGGTGAAATTATGGAATGCAGAATGATTTGGAGAGAAGTCTTTCACTTCATCTCAAGGTTGTTGCCGGTAAGAGTTTTCTATTGGCGTGACATTGGAGCTTGAAAGTTTCACCATACAAAATGGCTACAAGATTTGGTACCTTTTTTGGTATCATTTAATAGGTATTGATCTCAAAATTTCAAACTAAATTTTATACGAAGTTTAGATCCAACATTGAAATTTTGACTCGTTTTCACAAAGTTTTGTTTGGATTCGCTAAAGTTTTTGTTAAGACAAAAAGGCTCGCTAAAGTTTTTGTTTGGACAAAAACGCTTTCTTGATGTTTTCCGAGAAGTTGAAAATCCTTTCGGTCTTTTGATCTTTTGGTCTTTTGGGAAACGGATCCTAAATTGTTTTAAGCTACCGGGTTCTAATTAAACCTTACTCTTGTGCATCTTCTCGAAAATATATATTTGGTCGTAAGTTTTAAAAAATGAACTTTTTTCACGAATATGCTCGAAATTTTTACAGAGCATGATGTCAAAATTTGATAATATCACAATCAGAGGTTACATAAATTTTCTCTGTTTTTCTCAAGTGTACATCCGGATTTGGGGTAGATGACTGTTTTATGATGCTTAACGTCGCAGCTAATCTCCGAGTACAGCCGCAACAACCACGCCCTGCTATCATTTCTACATTGGGGGTGGTTTATTCTGGGGGGCTACTTTCACTTGTACACACTCTAGCACAGGTATTTGGGAAGGGCGGCGGCGCACTTAGGCAGCAATTTAGCTGGTTCAAAGGCAAAATTTCGCCTAGCTCCCGTTCCAACTAATTATACCTAATTTAGACCAACTTATTAAGTGGGAATGAAACAATACAAATTAAAGATCCACACGTAACATCAAAGGGTATCCATTTCACATCAAAGGAAAGCCGGCTAACCCAGCCCATTTGGGTTAAGAGCCAGAGAAGAGTCAGAAATTGTCCATATACCCCACCCCGGCACACCTTCCAAAGAGGCTCTCAAATACAAGCAGGCCTATCACTACTACGATGGGTTGCTACTCTGTAGCTATTCTAATTCTGGTTTTTATACAATTATTCCGCCCTTCAAAACTATTTTCATATCAATAATAACAATTATTGCTAGCATAACTACATCTTTCACTGCTCACATAGCATAATACTTTAAAGCCTATTGCTTTGATTTGGAAAAAATCCCTTTGCAATATTGATAAAATACATAAGAAAAATAGTTCTTTATCGGCAATGATGTTATTCAAAAAATAGTATTGCCGAAAATGAATCTCTTGAGCGGGACTTTTTTGGGAGGAATTACTTTGAAGCTGGCAATGGGAAAACTTTTCCCAGATTTATCATAATTGGCGGTGAGGCTCGCTAGCCGCTCTGAATGCGGGTGTAATCAAGTGTTTTTAGGGGCCGAATAAACGCAATTAGCCGTAAAATGTCTTCATACTTGATCGAACCCGCCCAATTTGGGACAATTTAACACTCTTCGTATCTTGGCAAGAGACTCGCAGAGACCTTTCGCTTCAGTTCACGCCTCTCACGTGAAATGTGTCAAGAATCTTCCTGTTCAACCGCATCTTTTTTGGATATCTTGTTTAGGATTTTGATTTAGGTAACATTTGAGCTCCGCTATAATTAATTTCTTAATTTTTCGAATTGGGCAATAAACAATGAAGGATATGGACGAAAGAGCTGTTGGGTTGTATGATGCTAGCTTTTTACTGAAAAATTTTCAAAAAAGTCTTTTTGCAGGTTCGATAAACGTTGTTTCCCGATGTAGAAAAAAGGCAAAGTGTCAATTTCGTCTTTTTAAAATGACGAGAAAATTTTCAGAGAAGTTGTCATAATTAGTACTTGTTTCCGCGAAAAACTCTGATCTGCGCCTAGATATCAGAGGACACATAAGTCACATGTCAATGAAACATTGGTAATTTCTGGGTGTGGTTGGATTCCAAAAGACATTTCAAACGTCGCCAAAATTAATTATTAAATCAACAGTAAAACTTGAGGAAAATTTTAAAACTCACAGCTCCAAAAAATCGCAAACTTCACATTTTTGCAGCTGTATTCATGCAGCTACGCATTTGTCAAATCAGAAAAACGCCGGTCTTTGGGCCAAAATAATCATAGGACGTTAGAGGAATCATTTGCTCTGACAAGGTTCAAATTACAAGCAACAAATTTCAGCCTGGGCGCCATAAAAATTTGAACAAATTATGTTTTCACTTGAAAATCTTGTCGTTTCCGCTCTGAGCTCGGCTGTAATGAGATCAGTTTAGTCAAAATTTGGAGGCAGGCGGGAGCGGTTAAGTGGGAGCCTGCGAATGTTTGGGGCGGGGCGTGAACGCAGTTTACTTCAGCCGTCGGCAACTGCTACAGACTCCTGCTGCAAAGAAGAAAGGCGTCGGAGAAAGGGTAACGGGAAAGTAGCCCAAGTGGAAAAATTCTAGGTATAAACTTTGGTTATGAGCCAGATATAATAACAACCTCTGTAAACAATCGGTTTATAATAATTTATTAGAAGCAAAACAGCCCAAAGGCTAAATGCGAACATTAGTTTGTCTTTCTCAAACTTTTGCTTGCGGCTCTGCAAAAAAGCAGGCAGAAATGAGCAGAAGGAGCGTCTTTGTGAAATTGGGAAGAGTTTAGTTTGTGCTTCCTGTTAGCATAATAAACAACCTCAGCCTGATCCAATCGTAAATCACTGCGACCAAATCCGCCCGCTTTTGGAAACTGAAACCAAAACTATTTGCACTGGAACCCAGGGCTCTTTTTAGTGTAAATAGCTAACTAACCAACTAATAACCAACTTAATTATGTAGTTAAGGCAATGCTATCAAACGTAAACAAGGTCTTTTTCCCACGATGAGCACCAAGTGCAAAAATGGCGACACATGGCGCAACATGGAATTTAACCGAGGCTGTTTGGGGGGGGGGGGGGGGGGTATTGTCTGGGTGAAACTTAAATCTGAGATCTAGCCCTATAAAACCGTATATTCTTATGATGCAAATCTCTCAATAAGTACCACAAAGATCCATAACTTTTTTCAATTTTCCGTATCAAGCTTTTGTTTTCTGATTCTCGTTTTAGTTGAAGTAGAAGTCTTTTTGTACTGTGTCAGTTTATGTGTGTCAGCTGAATGTTTTGAGTCAAAACCTAAACCCGGGTGGATTTTTGAGTAGTTCACAGTCAAACAACCGATCAGAAAGAAAAAAACACTAAGAACAAGCAGATTATTTGCTGGTATTATTTGTGGTAAGTCACTTTTCACGACCACGCAAATAGTCTTTGTTTGGAAAGATGAGAAAGAAAAACAAATTCAAATGGGCTCCTGATTTTTGCAAACAGCAGATCATTATCTGAGCTTTGAGCTTACTTTCCTCTTACTTCAGCGACAACCATTTCTTCTTTTTCTTCTTCTGAAAATGAATTTTTCTAGTTTATTTAATCTGACTTTAGTGCTTGTAAGCATTGTTCTTGCAAGCTCACTTCTTGCAAGAGTTAAACACGAGCAACCAGCCCCTCTTCACGAAATGTCTTCGGAAGAAAAATTGACAACGTTTCGCAAAATTTTCGACCGAATGGATTCGGACAACAACCACTTAGTCGACACAGGTGAACTAAAAAGCTGGATAGATTTAATTCACAATCGCACAGCGGAAACCGCAATTAAGTTCAGGTTCAGTTTTCTGGATGAAAACAAGGATGAGCAGATTTCTTGGAAAGAGTTTAGGTCATTAACCTTTTCGATGAACAGTGATGACCTTGAACCAAAAAACTACACGCAGGAACAGTTCAGAGATCTGGAGAAGGCATTTCGCGCGGACAGACTGAGATTTCAGGTTGAAAATAAAGTAGTTCTGAAGTAGTGCACTTTTTGCCTTTTAAATCATTAGAAAAAAATGGCAAGGTGACGGTTTTTGGAGCGGATTCCAAAATCATTCAAAAATTTACTGAGCTTCTTCTTTAAAAGCGACGATCACCACTATACCTTGACTTAAGTTTGCAGTTTTTGGTTCTTTAACGATCAGTTGTTGTCGTCCAATTGATTATTGTGGTTAATTACCAAGATGGTATGAAATAAGATTTTAGCTCTAATGCATTGAAATTGAGTTTTCAAGACTTTATTTATTTAGAACGGTCAGCTTCAATTAATGTTATTGGCTTAAGCAATAACTTTCATAAAAACTAACAAATTTTCTTAACCAAAATGCTCTTATATGAAACTTGAGGCTGAGGGTTTCTTTGACTAATTTCTTCAAAAACTGGTAATTTTGTTTTATATAGACTGCAAGTAAAATCAGAAAAAAAAAATTTCTTTGAGTTAGTATTGTTTACCTTGCGTGGTGTAATGAAAAAAACTGTACAAACGCGTATAACGTTACTCAAATAAACATAATTGACAATTGCTATCTTCAGAAAATTAAAACGAAACAAATTTTTGATTTTTTTTTCTAATTTAGCATGAAATTGTTCTGAAAAAAAAACAGTTTTTGTCAAAGTAGCGCTAAATATAGCTTCCAAAACTAGTTCGTTTTGTAAAATCACGGTTTTCAGCCGGAATGACTAATTGTTCCGATAAATGAAAATGTGGAGGAATATTGTATTCTGGTGTGTTTTAGTTTTGTTTTGCTTTCCAAAATTGGTACCGTCGCAAAGCCAAAGAGAATTGTGAACTTGGAGGACATGAACATTATCTCGATCACCGAAAATCAAAATTCGCTCTGGATCCATAACACCACTGTCGAATAAACAGAAATCAGAATATTCCGTCGGAATTATGAAATGCCTGTCTTTAATGATTGGCAAGGACGGGACCAAGTTCTGTTTCTGGCGGTTAAGAGTTCTGTTTATTGCTGCACGACTGGGCAAGGATAATTGAACAGCTTTCTCATCAGTTACTTCCTGGAGACAAGTGGCAATTATACTACTATTAACAGGTACAATTTGCTGCCTGGCCTCTTTTTTCATTTGATGCATGATCTGGTTTGCCTCAATTTTCCCAGGTCTAACATCGTGGCTGTGCTCATTTCTTGTTGAGACGAGTTCATCTCCTGCTGTGACGGCGAGCATGCGGCATTTGTGTGAACTGTATCTTGCGCATCTCCAGTGCTCAGTAGTTTTTGTCGTCTGCGTTTTTGTGAAATCGTGTCCGTCAATAATTAGCGTTCGTTTGTTTCGTTGAGATATTCCCCACGTAAGTTGACTCATAGTATTTATGTTGAAGTATTTATGTGGATGTTTAAGAACGAAATGAAATGGTAAACAATGAAGCAAAATGAAAGAATAGCCGTGTTTCATTTTGTTTCAAAGGCGCTAATTGTGGATTATTGTCAAAGTTTGGCGTGTAATTACCAAAAATTATGCTTTTTTAGGGTCAGCTTCGAATATTTTCAATTAGAGTCTTTTGTTATCTCGAAACGAGTCCAGTGTACATTAGCACTTGCTGGTCCACAATTTGAACATCAATGAATCAAGTAAAAGTGTTAAGTATGGGATAAAACGGCATAGGACAAAATGTCATGTGGGGCAAGTTGGCATAGGACAAGTTGCCATGTAGGGCAAGTTAGTATAGGACAAGATGGCATAGGGCCAATTGACTTGGGGCAAATAGTCCTGACACCAAATAATCATTGGACAGGGTTGAGTGATATATCATGTTAAAACCTTTTTAGTCGTGATTGGAGCTGCATAATTTTATTCAGTCTTGAATTGAACGACACAATGAATATTTGAACGACTTAAAACGACATATAGCGCTTTTCCAGCAAAAAAGAATTATTGAACTTCTAACATTATTAAGTTTTTCTTTTTGATGGCAACTGTAATCGTGTATGCTTAATTCACTAAATATCAACGCATTTGCATAGTTTTATCCTCACTCGATGTTCAAAAAAGACACTAATTTCAAAAAAAAATCATTAAATTTTTTTTTCTGAGATGAGTTTGGACATTCTGTGCTACTTGCACAGCAATCTCTTATCCTAGTTTTCATAACGCTTTAATTGATCCAAAAAATACCAAAATTCAAAAGTTTTGAATTGGTTTTTCTCAACACTGGGATAGTTTTTGAATTTGTTCGAAGACGTTGAAATCACGACTAAAAGGCAGTGATATGATATGTCACTCGACCCGTTCCGATGATTATTTGTGGTACCTGCTTTTGCGAGGAAAACAAAAAAGTAAACTATCTAAAACACACCCAATTTTAATGTTCCAGTAGGAACAAAAGCGAACAGCAAGCCTATCACAAATTAGTTGCAAAAAAACAAGGAAATATACAACTTTTTAGTTTTAAAGAAAAAAATTGCAAGTAAGGTTTCTTTGTTTTAGTTAAGTGGCTTAGTTTAATGAAACGTTGATGGTATGTTTCTCTGATGTTTTAGAGTGGTCATTTCAATTATATTTGGAACATAATTCAGTCGGGAGCCACTCAAATGTAATTTGATAAGATGAAATAGAAGAATTTTAAAAGATTAACAGAAAACACGTGGAGATAAATTGACCTGAAATCGAGGTAAAATCATGTCTAGTAAAAAATATATTAATTGAAATCGTTGTTATTTTTATAGAAATTAAATTTATATATCTGTTGTGAACTGCATCTGTAGCTTTAGTACGACAAATTTCGACTAAAATGTTTCAATATGATATATCACTCGACTCGTTCCGATGATTATTTGTGATACCTGATTTTGCGTTGTAATAAGTTTCAAATAACTGAAACACTAGAACAAAGATCGTCTCCACTTTAAGTGGTCGGAACAATAAGAAATGGTAAATATTAAATATAGTAATATGTTGAGATCAACTCAGTGTTACTATATTTATCACTGCCATGATAAGAGATCGAACACACGATCTGGCTATCTGTCTAAGCTAATCCCTTTTCGGTGTCTTACTCCTTCTATATAGCAAACAAGAAAATTTTTGAGCTCAATTTTCCCTATAAAATTTGTGCCTCATGATACAAATCTTCTGAGACTAAAAGCTAATAATAGCTAACAAGTTATGTTAGATTCATACCTTCAATTAAATTTAATCTTTATGAATCTTTATTTTTAGATAATCACTCAGCTGATTGGCTTTTTTTCTTTTTGTTCAGGTGGCGGACTTGGACCAGGATGACTCACTGAGTGTGAATGAGTTCAGAGCATTCGCCATCCCTGAGCTCTTCCCTCACATGCACTTCCACATGGTGCAGGAGACCATCCTGGATCTAGACTGGGACTCGGACGGGAATCTCTCGGTGGACGAGTATCTCTCCGCCATTCTACAGGTAAGCATTGCAGATAGGAAGAGAAGCCGGTCACTGTGAAATTAGCACAGAAGGTTCCGATCACGTTAATTTGTACAGAAAGAACACAAAAAAAGGAAAAAACTACGGAAGTTTAGTAAATAGTATAATAACATAGCTTGAGTATTATTATACAGTTTTAGCTTTAGTATGATTATACAGTTCTAAAAATTTAGGGCTGGGTATTTTAGAGCATTGAAAATATTTTTAAAAAATGAAGATGTTCAGGTCAGGTAGATGTTTCTCTACAGCTAGATGTTTTTGAATTTTGATGTAATTTTTGTTGCAAATTGAGTTCTAATTTAGGTCATGATCCACAACCGTAAGCGAGATTGGTATTAACCATCATTCAAATGTAGTAATACAAGAATCTCCGATAGTATGGTTATTTTTCTAGATATTGCAATATTTTCAAAATTGGAGAAGATAACCTAAATTAAAAAGGTAGATTCCATTTTAGAGCAATGACGAATTTCCAAATGACGTCACAAGCCGAGAGTACGACTTCTTCTTCAGCTCGCGAGACAAAAACGGAGACGGCAAAATGGACAAGAATGAAGTGAAAGAGTGGATCGCACCGAGTCACTTCGACCCACACGAAGCCGAGGCCGAATATCTCATTCGAGAAGCCGACTCGGACAAAGACTCGCAACTGAGCTTCGACGAGATTATGAAAGACTTGAATGTTTTTCTGAACAGCGGAGCCACCAATTTCGGCAGAGAAATTCACGAAGAGCTATGAGTTTTTGCTCCGGCTTGAACGCTTAATGAGCATTTTTGTAATCCAGACATATGTAAATGATTTCAATCGCAAAATTATGGACAGATAATTTGGAACTGCAGTTGTATCAAATGATTATAACAATTGTAACAAGAATTTTTTTTTTGATTTTTTATAAATTGTCTAATTTTTGAACTTTTGTGTCGTTTTTGAGACAAAATAATGGGTTCAAATTAAAATAAATCAAGTTAAATTAAATAACAATGTTGATAGCAGAGAGCGGTCGTAACAGCAACATTTTATATTATGCTTTTTTTCATCTTGGAAAAATTTGTGAACACCATCCATTCTACAAACTTTGTATTACTTTGCCAAAAATTGATATGAGACTTTAACAGTCAAATGGATTGACTCAGAAGAGTTTATTCTGATGATGATGACGATTTCATTTCAAATAATTGCCAATTATATTCTCAGTTAACTCTAATGATTTTCGATTATTTTCATTGGATTAACTGTTGCTCCGACATCTAAAGAAAGTGACCGGATATTTGCGCTCGGGGTAATTTTTCTCCAGAACAATTTCGACTTTCAAACGGCCATTTTTTGCGGAAATTTTTTATGGAATGAAAAATGCCGTATCAAAGTCTCAAGATGAAATCTAAGTAAATAATTTACCTGTGCTCATTCCTCATGAAGTTATGGGGGGTTTGAAAACAATTTAATAAGTATTTCGTGATATTAATGCGTAGGCAGCAATTTATCCGTCTTTAAAACATTGCAAATTGAATTGAGGCATGCTAGTTATTTGAATGAATCCGTTTTTATATGCAAAATACACGTTGCATTTTGAATAGCGTTTGGGGTGATATTTTTCATAGAAAAAAAAATCGAAATAAATCGTTTAATTTTTCCAATTTTTTAAGTTCATTTACGTTTAAATTGAACATCAATCCACAAACGTTAAAAGGCAGTCTGAACATTCAGAGCATCGGTCTGATGCAATTAGTCTTGTAGTCTTGTTGTTTTTAACTTTGATCATTCGCGAACTGATGGTCCCTCATTATTTGAAAAAGAGTTTTCTACAGCACCAAAACTGCCCGTGCCCGTTCTACAGCACGGAACACTCCATGCTGTTTTTTTTTGATATTGTCATTTAAAGTAGATAAATTATTGCTTTGTCAATTGCTTAGCATATCTTCCGCTTCTGCTCAAAAAATTTAGCCCTTTTTTAGATTTTTTTTTTCGAAAAAAGTGAGAACTGCGCCTCATTTTTTGAAATGGTTTTGAATCTAAGCAATGTTTTTTTGTAAATTTTCTGCCTCTTCAATCGTATTGTTTGCTTTGGTTAAGATTAAAAACACTGGAAGCATCTTTATTCTTATTTAATTTCAGAGCAACTTCTTTCATTCAAAATGTTTTAATTGAAAAATGAAACTGAATGAATCAATATGCAAAACTAGCTATCTACTTGGGTTTCTAATCATTATAGTTTTTGTCGTTCTTTGCCTTCAGGTTTATCACAATAAAAGAATAATTTTTTTATTTCAAAGTTTCAACGATATGTTTGTGGGAACCTTGAGTTGGAGTTTGTTGGGGTGTTTCACATTATAGCCCCCAGCCTAATTACAAAAAATTTATAGCAGGGACTTTCGTAATTTGGGGTGTCTATATTTCAATAGGGATATATCTTGGGAATAATCGTTTGTTGTTAGCCACCTTTTGAATTACCTATGAGATCCAATAAACAATCATACTTTAGGTTTTGAACACTAGACATCTCGAAATTCCAACGGCCGGCATAATATTTTGACGTTTGATAAGTTATGCACATTTTTCAGTTAAGAAAAACAAATGTGCGAATTATTGGTAATCAACCTATTCCATATGAGGGCGTTTAAAAGTACCCAAGTACAAGAATGTCAAAAAAAAGAAAGAGGTTGCGTGAGTTCAACTTCGAATTTGATTGAGTTTTAAAACAAAAATTGTGAGGAATTCGTATTTTCAAACAATGGAAGTATCAACAATTTGCATTGATCAAATTCGAACTTAACTGCGATTTTTTTTTGTAATTTTTTGATGAAATTTGTTGTCTATTATGCCAAATATGCTATAACTATGGAAAACATTTTCGCTTTTGGTGATTTTTGGTGATGTTTCGACCACTTCTAAAAAATTTGGAGTTCAGTTTTCCTGCTCAAAATCGGAAACTGTAAATAAACCTCATTTAGGATAGAATATGGTATCATAATAACCTTATCAACCGTTGTTTCTTCTGTTTGTTAAATGGCTTATTGAAAATTGGGTTAAATTTTTTTTTAATTTTTTTTCAAAAACTGGCTTGATTTTTCAAGTTTAGACAATTTTGATTGGCAATTGAATGATTGGTGGCTATACGTTAAGCCTTAATTTTGCCCAGAGCATCTACATAAAACGTGAAAGAGTCAGAAAACGCGGAAAATTGGAAAACAAATATTTCTATTTTATGTTTTTAAAATGGCTGAAGTTATAACTGTGAGCGAACTAAGACTGGATCTCAAAACAAAGGAGATTTAGAAATTTAAGAGAAATCATTAAAACAGAGACGTCGGCATCGGCAAAAACGAACGTTTTTCTTGCAACGCACGCGGAATCAAAACTCGGCGCTAGTATACATTTGTAATGCTGATTTTAATGGTAAGCTTCTAAAATATATCAGCTGCCTTGTGAGTATTTTCACTCAATTGTGATGATCTAAGTCGCATTAACTGTTCAGAAATATCAATTGGCATCGAGATTTTCTCTTGAGATGTTTCAAGACGTGCGAAACGCTCTGAAGCACTTGTGAAGAGAGAATGAATACCTTATGTCCAGTTCTCTTCGGACCATAACTATCTATAAAATTTAACGACCATCTGGTCTCGTTTTTACCATAAAAATAATGATGAAACTCAGCATGTAATTAGAAAAATCACAACACACCACAGACGTTTTTACTGTCAATTGGTCTAAGTGTCTGCGCTTTCATAACCTGCGCATGTTTCAACTATTCAACCAGACTTATAACAATATTTACCAATTAATAACCAAATGGTAATAAGACAACGCCGATTTTGATGATAACAGTTGTTTATCATATTAAAATTATACTTTTTTCAACATAGATTATTTACAAAAATGCCGACCATGTTTGAAGATTAGACATCTCGAAAATTCCAACGGCCGGCATATCATCAAGACGATGGATCACCAAGACTACCTTCGCGGCATTGAAAGTTCAATGGCTCAACAGAAAGATTTAACTAAGAGTGCCTGCTAATCGGAAATGGTTGCAGGTTAAAATCAAGTTTAGGCTTTTATGTGTTTTGGTTTCCTTGCCAAACGTCAATTTATTTATCATCGATTGTATTGTGTTAAAATAATAACTAAATAATTAGAGGAAATTTAATTTTTTCCTAGTTTTCAATTATTACTGTCAAGGAAAAAAACGAGTTTTCTTTCTGTTTTATGACTTGGGCGGAAAAAAAACGAACGAAACTTCAGTTATATATCATAGCAATTTGTCTTCAAGAATTCCAGACCATTTGCTACGCTTTTTGTCTTCAAAGAGATGGCAACTTGGTCCGACTCATTGAAAAACCATCTTAGCAGAGTTGCCAAGAGGTTTTTTCAGACGCGCCTCGAATTGAAAGTGAACACTCAGCTAAAGCATGAAAACATATACAAACTATTGAAGTTTTACTTTGTAGCTTTTGTTTTAACTTTCAGCTCAACAACTCGCCTATTTATAATCTTCATAAGATGATCAAAGTCAATTTAGCCGAAAATAATTAACGGCTCGACTGTACTTTTCACCATTCATATTTATTTTGGTTTTTGCATGTTTTTGCTGTATTCTATCTAGTATAATTACCAATGAAGCTTTTACCACTTAGTATATGGATGTGAATTGGTAATATTTTTTATTGCAATCCGCCTGAAGACTTTTAGTAATCCGTACAATTCTCTATAATTTTTTCAGCCCTTTTTTCTTCTTTCTACGTCGGCTATTAATTAATGGCGGTTTTAGTATTAATTTTTGGGTGATTAACTTTCATCATAATCTTCATAACTGCGTTTCCAGTCCAGTCTATGATTAATACAGCGTGAATTTTTTTAGTTACTACAAAAATCATAAGCCGCTCGATCGGACTTACTTGGCCTTTTTTTAGCCAGACTGAGTTTATCGTACAAATCTTGCCTTGTTGGTTTAACTAATTTTATTGGGACTTCTTTGACAAATGTCACTTTTCGTTTTATTGCCTTCTCAAACATTTGAAGTGAATGATCACTTCATTCCTGAATGAACAATTGTTCACTCTCTTTTAAATCCCCAGTTACGTAAACGCTTGAAAAATTGCGCAATGATATACCTGTTCGCTATGACAAGATATTAGTCCAATCATGTTGGAGATTTAGCAGCGATTTGATTGGATAAAACAGGTTCTTCCTGCGGATCAAAGCGCCAGAGCCATTGAAGGCTGAAATTTTAATCCTATAAAGAACCACAACTCCATAAAACTTTCCAGATAAGTTCATTTATAACAGACCGATAGTTCTTTAAGTGGATTTAGCAAAACACCGTTTAGCGCCTGAGCAAGATTAGCGACCCGGTAATTCACTTGTTGAGCGCACTTTACCGCCAGAGTTTCCGCCCATTAATTGATTAATTGATCAGCCGGAACTAATCACCCAACGGACGGCGTCAACTATTGCGACCCACAAAATAAGACTGCAGACTCCTTCGATGCCACACAAAGGTAAGCAAACAGGTCAAAAATGCAATTGAAGATCACCTTTTTTCTGCTAAGGATTCATCTTTCACCCTCCCACCCAATAATTCCCGAAAAAGTGGTCCCATTTCTCAAAAAAATTGATTTCGTCTCCTGAAATCCATTTAACTCGAAATGCATAATCAGTTGTCTTTGCTCTAGCATCTGACTGGTTTTTTTAGAAATTTATTCAAAAGAACTGGACACACTAAATAATAATCATCAGCAATAATTTGATTTTAACCTAAGGTGGACAAAAATTCATTCGAAAAACCAAAAAAATATTATCATATGTAGAGCGTGTTTTATGATTAGTCAAAATGTATCACGCTTATGTTTCACGAAATTTTCATGATTTTTTAAAATGCTGTTAAGAAAACGATTTAATCTCGTTTTTTTTTCTTCCCAGTGCAATGAGCTCCATTTTTTTATGCGGCAGCGAGAGATAGGTCTCTTAACTTTTTGAGATAAAGTTTGCAGCCTTACAAGCTAACTGCTCAAAACTACTCTTAGTTCTGTAATCCATTTGTTTGATGTTACTCGAATAAAATAAACAAAATAAAAGTCAGTATCTCCATTCTCAATAGAAACAAATATGATCAAATTCTGTTCAGTTTTTAATCTTTACAAATTTTTTGATAGCTGTGCTCGCACAAATCTTTTCAAAAATTGACCTCGAAAAACTATACTCCTCGAATGAAGACTCAACACTAATCAGCACTGAAAACGGATCTTCACATCCAACGCTGCTTCTCCCATTAATTCAACTTTGTAGTTTATCAGCCTGAAAGTAATATATTATTTTTATTTAGGGCATCCAGCCACTTTTTCATCCTTTTTCATTATTTGCCTTATCTTCTTTTCAGGGCACAGTGGGGTGAACCAGTTAGGGGGAGTGTACGTGAATGGAAGACCCCTCCCCGACGCCACCCGACAACAGATCATAGAGCTGGCCCAGAAGGGAGCCAGACCATGCGACATATCCAGGGTTCTACAGGTAAGACAACATTGACCAGTCAGCATACACCCAAATTATCGCCTTACAGGAATAAACAAAATCGCCCTTGCAAGGATGGGCAAAAAAAGCTGTCGCAAGTCCGTGAAAAGAGAATACCAGCTGAATTATCTCCTGAATTGCAAAATAGCATATACTTCATATAAAAAAATTATTAAGCCGATATTATGATTTGCTGAAAATATTATCAGAATCTAAATTGCCGTCAAAACTTTTAAAACTATTATCTTTTTCTTATCACAGCTCATTAAATTAAGTTAAGTCAATGTGAATTCTAAATTAATCTAAGTCAACGTGTATGCAAAAAATTGCAGAACCTTCGAATTAGTACAAAAATGTCTTTCAAAATTCATTTTACAAAAATTCATCGATTATTTTCTTTTCCTCTGAATTTCCGTAAAATTTGTTGCATCAAAATCTGAATTCCTGCATTATTGCATTTTTTTGTTTTAGATGAAGAATTTAACAAGATCCATTAATTTAGTCTGAACCATGAGCTAATGAAGAAATGAAGTAAAAGTGGCATGTTGAAAGAGAAACTGACAATAAAATCAGAATCGATTGGTATACAGAGATTGTTTTTTTTTTAAATCTAACAATAGAAGCTCAACTGAGGAAAATAATCCAACCAATTTATATTTTGCTCATATGAAATTGAATATTCGGCGGGAAATTATAGTATAAATGAACTAACATTTTTTGCATCTTCTTATGACCAAAAAAAACAAGTGACCAATAATAGTTGTTTGAATGCCCAATTTTTCCTATCATTCACCACTTATTGTAAAAACTCTTCATGCTGTTCGTCACCAAATTTTTTTATCTTTTACAAAATTTCAGACACCCAATTTTGTATTTATTTTTCATTTTTCCTGAATTGTGAAATTGATACGCTGTGGCTATACTAATCTAATAGTATCATATCGTTACAAATACTTTTTATAATTGGCTGGATTGATTGTGTCTTTGAAGTGTAGTCGGAAAAAGGAAAAAATGACCGCAAATTGTAATTCTCTCCTAGCCCCAAAGTCTGAACTATTGTGGAAAAGTGTTTTGATCCTGTGAGCACGTCTCAAAATACTCAAAACAATAAACCACTTAAAGCATTTTTCTATTCAACGCTAATTTTAATTGCGAACAGACGTAATTTTGATGTAAAAATATCATTTTTTACATTGCAGATTTTAATTTATTTGATATTTTATTTTACATGCACATTTAATTATTCCGCATATTTGAATTTAAACTTGAGAATCCTCAAAAACTGCAAAAATTCAGGATTTTACAGTTTATAGATTGAATTGATTTCAATAAAAGTTATTGGACATCAAAAGTAAAATGGATATTGTATGATCTCTCTAATTTTAAAATAAAAACTATAAAATAAAAAAAACCTGTTTTTTGAGAACTGGTATTTCAGCGTAGCTCCAACCGCTTTGTCAAAAAACCATTTTTTATATTACAGAAATAGATTAAAAGGCAATTAAAGTGTATAAAGATGAGCGCTTGCTTGGCCTCTATCTTCAGGTCTACAACAGCCAGACCGATTTCGTTGAAATAGTGATACCACGTGTATGTGCTTGACTAAAAAATGGCCTTGAGTCTCAAAAAAACTTTGGCTAAGCAAGATTAGTTTGTCTAGAAAATGGGGAAAAATTAAAACGGGCAGCCTGTACACAAGCTACAAAGCCCTTTTTGATACATCCTTTGCGATTTGCAGCAATGAAATTGTTGTCGATGTCATTCGATATGCATGCGTGGGTTTAGGTTTCGAATGGGTGTGTGTCTAAGATTCTGGGCCGATTCTACGAGACCGGATCCATCCACCCCAAGGCCATCGGGGGCAGTAAGCCAAGAGTGGCCACAGATGGAGTGGTGAGGAGGATTGCAGCCCTCAAGCGGGAGAGTCCGAGTGTGTTCGCGTGGGAGATACGCGACAGACTCATCCAAGATGGGTGCTGCACCCAGGAAAACGTACCCAGTGTAAGTACTCTTTGTCCTTTTTATTCAACCCTACCCCTTCCCCATTCAACACATACACAAACTTAGTAAAAACATCAATTTTTTTAAATTTTGTAAACTGGTCTTACACGGCTGAGTGCTAGCTAACACCAAACATAATGCTTACTTGCCTCGATTATTCAATCTAGAATGTCAAATTTAATTCAAATTCATTAAGAGAACTAAATTTTTGAACTTTAAGTAATCAAAAACAAAAGAAGACAAATGTAGGCGATTGCTCTGCAAGTAGTACAGAATGTTCAGACGATATTCTTAAAAAAGTGTTTTGGCTTTTTTCCAATTTTTTTTGTGCATGCATGATGTGATAAAAAGATCTGATGAAAGCCTAGAACTTAGGCAAATTCGACAACCAAATTGGACAACCTAAAACAGGCAAGCTGGGCATTAGTTTTTTTTGAAAATTGACTAGAAAAACAAAAAAAATCATCATTAATTCAATTTTTTTTTTTCAATTTTTTTGTAGATACATGAATTGATAATATTTTTATTCCCAAAATGCACTGAAAAAAATTTCAAAGCTTTTTTACTGGAATAAAACTAATAGTTCATGGCCTATCCTTCTATAAAAAGTCTGCTCCCTTGCTTTACTCACTCGTAATTAGACGAAAAATCAAAACTTTTCTCGACACTGGGAAAACTTTTTGGAACATTTTTAATACCGTTAAAATCAGGGGAAAGGGTTTCACTATGA